CGCGGTAGTTTTGAGGCTTGTAGTCCGTCAGCCCCACACCAATTAGATTTACGAAAATAAAATATTTAAGCTCAATAAATCTAATGTCACGTGCACACTGCACATGCATGACATTCAGAGTCACTCGACTCGGACGCGCTTGTGGCGAATCATGGCATTGGCCCGCCGCCGCGTCCTCTACAGCCCTACAATTGATTCTAGCTCTCAACACCTACTTCATACATCCTAACGCTTTTCAGCCCAAGGACAGGAAGACGTCTCTGTTTGTCGCTTGTGCTCTATTCGCCAGACTAAAACTACTAGCAAACTTTTGCTCGAGTTATCTGCTCAATACCTCTGTGGGGCTCTACCTGCGCCTCTTATGCGATCTCTGGAGACCCACGCGTGCTGAGAGAGACCAACTCATTATCGAATTATGTCGACTCTCTTATCATTTCACAAAGATATCCTTGAGAAAATCCATGATCCGTCCACCAGCGAACTAATTCTCCTAGCTCGTGGTCTTGGTCTGCGGAGAATTGTGTGCAAGTTATTGCAAATATACGATTCTCCGAATAACTTGGTCATTCTGGTGAGCGCGTCACCAGAAGAGGAATCCGCTATTGGCGAAGAATTAGGTATATTGGGATGTAGGAAACCTGGTTTGCGCATCGTAGGGTTTGAGACGCATAAGAAGGACAGGTATGTTATGTGTATTCTCCCCGTATTTTTGATCCCCGAACATGCCTGGAGACAGAACCTGTATAAAAAGGGAGGCTTGATATCCATTACATCACAGATCTTGACCGTGGATATGCTGTCCTCCGACATATCTACTGAGATGATCACGGGTATTGTGCTGTTGCACGCCGAGAAGTGAGTAACACCGTTTTGAACCTGTGTGAGCCATTCACATGAATGCAAGGGTGACCCCGACCTCGGCAGAGGCTTTTATTGTTCGCCTCTTTCGCGAGAAGAATCGAGACGGGTTTCTGAAGGCGTTCTCGGACCACCCTGAACATATTACAAGCGGAATGTCCCCGTTGCGGACTGTTCTGAAAGAACTCCAGATTCGCAACGTACATATTTATCCTAGGTTTGTTTGATATCATGCATGGAGTAGCCTTGCTGATTTCGATCAGGTTCCATGTGGAGATCAAGAATTCGCTCGACTTGAAGCGACCTGACCTGGTGGAGCTACATCAGAACATGACAGAGTATATGGCCGAAATACATCATGCGATTGTTCAATGCATGACAACAACTCTTGCGGAATTGAAGCGCGCCAACACTGCCGTAAGTTGATAGTCTGACTTCAATCACGACGTTTTGATCTCGCTCAAAAACCTTCCTTCAGCTTGACCTTGACGACTTAAACATAGACAACGCCTATTTTAGATCATTCGACATGATCGTGCGCAGATTGTTGGACCCAGTCTGGCATAAGGTAGGGCCCCGAACGAAGCAACTGGTTAATGACCTAGCAACTTTACGACGTCTCCTCACGTATGTCTGAATCATTTCAAGATCATACTTGACCCTAACGAAGCGCCTGGCTATAGTTTTCTTCTGACGTACGACGCGCTTGCATTTCACGCTTACCTCGAAACGCTCATCGCATCCAACACAACCAATGAATCCGGCGCTCCCAGAAAGAACCAGTCGCCTTGGCTGTTGACTGATGCCGCTAATGTTATATTCCAATATGCGAAACGAAGGTGTTATACTATAAGTGCATCCGCTCAGAAAGCACTCAATACTGCTCCTCCGCAGATTGAATTAGACGACGACGAAGATGCATGGGCTGCGTTAGACGAGCTCGAGGGTCGGGCGCGTGTTCCAACTCGTTCAGAGGTGCACGGCGCATCGAACGCACCGGACGGCCCGCAACGACCAAAATGGCTTCCGGATGGTATGGACCCGGTGCTCGAAGAGCTGCCGAAGTGGAACTTGCTTGCAGACGTGCTGCATGAGATCGAAGAAGAGATGATGAGACTCGAGCCGCGCTTGACATCCCGTACGTGCATCTGTACAGCCCCACGTCTCCCACGCGTTCTGATGTTACATTGCGCTCATTAGTATCTCCCGGATCCAATACCACCCTAGTCATGACTTCCTCTCTGCGTACGTGCGCGCTCGTCAACGAATTCTTGTCTTCTATGGACCTAGATGCACCGCGTGGTGCTCGCGCTCGCGCGATGATGGAGAGGAAGCTTAAAACCTATCTTTGGTTTAAGAGCAACTTTAGCGACCGTAAGCAGACGGGAAAGGGGCAAAACACCACGTCTGATGGCAAGAAAAATCGGCCTGAGACTGATGCTGGCCTTAGCGAGGCGTTGAGGAGGAAAGATAAGGAGAAACGCGAACGCGCTGCTAATAGGCGACGCGTAAGAGGAGGGGCTCCTGCTGCGCCCACCACGAGGGAAGGGTCAGATGCGCAAGCCGGTGAGGATGTCATGATCCAGGAAGCAGATGATATTGCCGCGTTGTATGCACCCTTCCGCGTTCTTCGGGGAAAGTATGATCTTGATTAATGAGGTAGCTTATCCACCCAAGGCAGCGCCGCACCTCAAGGACCAGTCGAAGAAGATATCACCCTGCTCGGCTTTGAATCGGATTTCGATGCTCACTATGGACTGTTGGCTCCTCAACAGACTGTCCTTGTGCGAGCCTATTCTGATGATGCGGACGACCGCATGCTGCAAGAGATACAACCTCGCTTCATTGTCATGTTCGAGCCAAACCTAGAGTTCGTTCGTCGCATCGAGGTTCGTCCAAATGCGTCTGATTCTATCCTTATATATGAACGCGTGACGGAGCAGGTATACCGAAATTCGAATCCCGGCTTGGGCGTTCGCGTGTATTTCATGATGTACAGGTACAGCTGCGAAGAGGGCAAGTATCTTACTGGGTTGCGACGCGAGAAAGAATCGTTTGAGCGATTAATCAAAGAGCGGGGGGTCAGTTCATGTTGCTCTGTTCTTTTCTTATGCTGACGACACGTGTGTAGTCCATGCTCATGCCCATTTTAGAGGAGCGGCGGCCGGGAAGCGGAGAATCCCTCATCAAGACCATCAGCAGTAGGATCGCTGGTGGCAGGAAGGAGTTATCTACAGAAACATCTTGCGTATGTTCAAATTCAAAGCATGCAGCGTGCAGCATTTCACACTTAGCACAGGTTATTGTAGACATGAGAGAATTTCGATCATCTCTACCATCGCTGTTACACGCCTCCCAACTCCTTGTCATTCCTGTCACGCTCACTGTCGGCGATTATATCCTAACGCCGGATATCTGTGTCGAGCGCAAGAGTATACCAGATCTAGTTTCCAGCTTTAACAACGGTCGATTGTGAGTGTCGTGTTCGCGTCGGGTTGCATGTATTCATGACGATCTCCAAGACACACCCAATGCGAGCTCATGTCCGTACATTACAAGCAGCCTATCCTGTTGATTGAATTCGAAGAGCACAAGTCGTTCTCACTTGAGGTAACGAGCAACCTATTGTCACGACGGTGAGAGATTCACATCCGCGCAGGCCGTCACGGACGTCAAGTCCTACGCCAAGTCGTCGAATAAATATCCCACCAAGAAGAAAACTGGGACGGCGCCGGAAGACAACGAGCGCGCGTCCGCCAGCATCCAAGCGAGACTTGTCCTTCTCACGCTGCACTTTCCCCGAATCCGCATCATCTGGTCATCCTCGCCCTACGCGACCGCAGAAATCTTCCGCGACCTCAAGTCGAACAGCCCCGAGCCCGATCCTGCGAAGGCGGTTGTCGTCGGCGCGGAGGAGGACCCGGAGGCGGGCGCAGGCGTCAATGCAGTCGCGGAGGAGCTCCTGCGGTCGCTGCCCGGCATCACGGCGAAGAACGTGAAGCATGTCATGAGTAAGGTGGGCAGTGTCCGAGAGCTATGTGATCTCAACCTGCCGCAAGTGCAAGACATCCTGGGCGTGGAGCCCGGAAAGGCGTGTTGGGAGTTCATCCACCGCGGTGAACGAACTCGGCGAATAGCACAGATTTGAGTATCTCAGACACGGGAAGTTAAGATATTCGTCGTGAGTGTCGTAGTGTACTGTAAAAAATAATATTTATCCCGAGAGCATCCCTCTAACCTGACATAAAAAGCGGTGGCGAACAGCAATGTTGACGATTAGCATCAACGGATAAGGCCCAAGAATGCCGCGATCCATCTACAAGGCCCAGACTCTAGTTCTAGATAATACGTGTACTCAGCTGTATAGTGGCAAGGAAAGGCAACAGTTGCAAGATTAGGCCTTCACATCGCCAAGCGATGGAGCGCCGCCCTGCATGGGAAGAGGGACCTTGACAGGCTCCTGCATATCATCGGGCTCACCCATCAACTCACGGAGCCTCTTGCTATCAAGTAGCTTCGCGTACTTCGGCTGTATGAACAGGGCCCTGTGCAGTGGACACACTTAATCTGACGTCAGCGAGGGATGCAAGCAACCTGCTTACTCTGCTTCCGCGAGAACAGTCCCTTGCATGTCCTCAATCACTCCCGCTACCTTCGCTTTCCGGCCGCTTATTTCAATAAGACGTGTTTTAATGACAATGAACTGGGAGGTGGTATGAGGCGAATGGGCTCGGGGAGGCAGTACTGTTCCTTGCGCTTACCTGATCTGCGCGAGTGGGTGCACGGTAGTTCAGATGAAGATAAGCCGTGACGCCAATCTTTTCTGGCAAGTTGAGGAGTGCCTGAACCATCGACGATCTCTCAGCACCAGACCCTGTATGGATGCCGCCGAGCACTCGCCTGCCGTCCGAGAGTCTCATCCAGCAGCGTCGCCAACAGGCCGCCGTGTATGATCCCCTCATGTCCACACAGCGCCCGGCCGACGTGCACAAACACCATCGCCTCGCTGTTATCCCGCTTCGACCTAACGAGCGACGGTATCGCGAGCTTCCCGGGGCCGTGCAATGCCCCGCCGGTCAGCGTGTTCACTCTTTCCTCCTCTGGTACTTTCAGGTACGGCCGAGCCTCATACCACTCTCCATATCCTTCCTTTGCTCGATGCGCAGTCAAGAGTGGAAGGCTCTGCAGCGTCTCCTCCAGCCCGGCAACGTAGGCAATGTGCTTGGGGTCGTCTGCACGCAGAGGCGGAGGCGCCGTGCGCGGAGAGATGTATGTCGCGAGCGTCGGCGGGTTCAGCGAGCCGTACAGGTACGAGCCGACCGCGACGGTGGTAAGTGCTGAGAATGTACGAAAATATCTGAAGTAAGACGAGGGTGCTGGTGTGGACTCTGGTGATGTCGAAGCGAAACGGCGCGAGACGTAGCGACGTGGGCGGAGTTGGCCAGCGTGTCGGCGGAGAGACGTGGTGAGCATTATGAACAGTCGTATAGTGTGCGTTGGTATATCAGTAATCAGATGCTCCTTTGGCCGGTGAGGATGGTGGTATAAAGTAGAACACTGAAGATTGCAGGCGATGCTAGCGCTGGGATGTTCTGCTGTCGGGCCGGAATTTTGACCCGACTCGCCGAGTATTTGCTTGTGTTTGTTAGGATCCGAGGCTAATGCAGGATCGCCAGATTGGGTAGTTCGCTACTCCCGCACTGAATTTGTGTTCTGCGCCCTCCGAGTTGTATGTCACACACACAGCATGCTATCCTTACCTCGTCATGGTAGACTTTTTATTCCAGGAAAATCAGGAGCTCAGCTCTTTTGACTGCGCAACTGCTGGAGATGCTACACGACGCGCAGGTAAGGTCGCCTTCGTTGTATCTCTGGCTGTTTATCAAAGCGGCAGCTTTTCAATGTAGCATACTGCTCCCGCCGATACCTGCGACCACATAATTGATCCCCTAACATACGAGAAGTTCCTGAGTTGCTATCTTATACCGAACAAACCAGTCCTAATTGGCCCGCATCTCGTCTCCTCCTGGCCAGTGTTCGATACATGGGTGCTTCCGCGTGCATCACCGAAAGCCGAGTCCCAAATCGATTGGGACCTACTCTCGAATACATATGGAGACCTGTCTGTTACTGCTGCGGACTGCTCCACGCGTGAATTCAGCGACCAGAAGCGCAGCACAATGCTCTTCCGAGACGTCGTCGCGCTCTGGAAGGCCGGGGGCGGAAGCTCGCTTTACATCAAGGACTGGCACCTTGCTCGCTCGTCTCCTATACCTTTCTATACGACCCCTGACATATTCCGCGACGACTGGATGAACGCGTACTACTCAGCCTGTACGCAGGACGACTTCCGGTTCGTGTACGCCGGCGCGGCGGGGACGTTCACGCCACTGCACCGCGACGTGTACACATCATATTCGTGGTCGACGAATATATGCGGCCGGAAGAGATGGTGGCTGTTCCCGCCGGAACAAACGAGATGGCTGATGAAGAAAGGCCGTGAGGAGCACGGAGAGACAGCGTATGATGTGCGAACAGCTGATCCGCACGAGTTTCCTGAGCTTGGCAGGGCGAATCCGATCATTGTAGAGCAGGAGGAAGGAGAGACGATCTTTGTGTGAGCATGAGCCCCCTTGGATACGGATCTGCTCTGACTAGCATTTGCAGACCGAGCGGATGGTACCATCAAGTCGGTATCGGTGCATCGTTCTGACCCGGTGATTGTGCTCACCCACTTCGCCAGGTTGAGAATTTGACCGTGTGTATTTCCATCAATCATAATTGGTGCAACGCCGTCAACCTTCCCTCTCTGTATGAATCGATGTGCACGAAAGTTGTGGAGGTCGAGCGGGCTCTGGATGACGTACGAGAACTGCTCTCCCGGGACAAAGACAACGCCTGGGAGCTTGAGTGGGTTCGCATTGTTCAAGATGTGGTCGAGAAAGATGCAGGATGGAAGTAGGTGCAACCGTCTGCATGGAGTTATCCGCGCTCTGATCAGTCCGTTCGCCGCAGTTGGATCACATTCTGGAAGATGGTCCTTCATGCCTTACACATTCATCATTCGGAACTTTGTCCGGGCACTCCAGAGCAGCCCGCGCTCTGGAAACTCGCACCCACTCACCTAATGCCAGGGCGGAAGTTTATCGAAGAGCGCATCCACAGATGCTATACTGATTTTATGCAGAGAGACCGCCGCGAGATTGAGGTGCATGGATTGAGAGATGTCCTCCTTGCCGTTGGGGGACAACTCGGCGCTGTGACCTCGTGACCTTATCAGCGCTCATGAAGGTTTACCTGCGACCAATATACAGTCGATCTTGTTTTCTTGATTTAGTGTCTGCGTTTCCTTCATAGGCTTTGCGCAACAGATCGTCTCTCACGAACCAACACATGTCAAGTCACGTAAGTACATATGTTAGCTATTATATTCTGTCGCCATCTCCAAGGCGCCGTTTTTTTTTAATACTTCCTCCGGGATTCAGCATTGCTCCATCTCCCATTACCATCAATTCTCATCACCCTAGTGCCGTCACTCACGATACTAGTCGTGCGGCGCGTTCACACATACTGTCTCCTGTCAATCCTAAAGTAGGGATGTCAGCGGAGGCGGCTGACACAAGCACGTCGGTTGTGGGATTTCGTGGCAACGTCGATGCGATTGTCACCATCTATTTGATGTATTGAGCGTCTTGTCACCCTCACCCTGTCAGCGGCGAGACTGTTTGATTTCATACACTTTCGA